TTCGCTTGCTTAGGGAGGTTTCCTGTCTGAGGCGTCATCCCTCCTTCAGTTTCTGAAGAAGATAACTGGTCAGCGAGTTCTGAGTTGAGTACTTGTCAAAGACTTCTGTTTTTCCTGATCGTGTCACCTGTGGCATGACTGGCTTTCCGAATCCTGCCTGCTTCTGCCGTGTGCGTTAGACTGGGTTTTCGTTCATCTCAGCATGCTGCCATGCTCGTGAGTCATGAGCATGCTACGGTGCTTCCGGGTGGACTTGCTCCTTAGTGTATAGCCGAAGCACATCATGGAAAATCAGCAGCAATCCGTTGAATCGCTGTGCTGTGTGTCCGTTTTCTTATCTCGCCAGGCTCACATAGACTCACCAAGCTATCATGTGGGTACATCGCCATCGCAGTTTTAGAACCCTCGATGCTTGGGTTCGCCCGCAGGGTCGCTTTTGGACGATATCTTTTCCTAGCCGTGATACTAGCCTGGTGCCTGGTGCTGGCTCGTGAGAATGTCCGGTGTTATGTTGCACCCGCCCATTCGCAGATGACGGCAACACTAGGTTACGCTGAGGTATGCTCTTGCTTCATACGACCAGTGCTACGTCATACAGTCTTTCCATGGTGGACAGATAATAATACATGGAAAGACGGATGCAGCTCCGCACAATCTTGGCTTCATTTCGGTAACTATCATCTAACCAGACTCTTTTCCTCTCACCTTGTTTTGCCACATTATTGTTTCATGGTGTTGCTAGCTAATCTCTGATGTAGGACCAGGATGTTCACCACCCGATGTCGCAAGCTTTGAGCCTCAAGCTGGCAGGCGCAGAGTGCTTCACCAACGCGACCTACACTGCGGAGGAGCGCTACGCAGGCAAGCTGGTGACATGATGAAACACGAATCACGCCAGATATGATGTTGGAAGTGATTTGACAAACTGTTCAAGGCCCTTCAGACCAAACAAGACGTGAAATAGACGTGCAGCTTTACAGCACAGTATCACACCAGAAAGCTACGTAGTAAACGAAACCCGTATCATGTCACAACATTTCAGACATAGACTAAGCCAAGAATATGACAGTCCATGGCAGCCCAAAAGAACACACGACAAAGTATTGTGGTAACATCATGTAGTTATACCAATGCAGTTTAGCAATATAGGCATGCGGTGTGAGGGAAGGCCAACAGCAGTCACACTTGCATTGACATGAGCTCACGTCAGTATAGAAACGTACGGTTTTGATGTGACGGACTTGCCGAAACGATGTATCACAGCTTATCGGGTAGAGTTGCTATTCATGTTTCTAGTATAGTCGTGCAGTGCTGAGGACATGCGCATCGAGGACTCTTTATAAAGAACAGTTGCAGAAGCAATAAGCGGAAGCATGCCATACGACACTTCTTCTGTGAACCGCTTGCAGAGTGTCACACTAGTCTAGCAATGCCGCCTCAACCAAGCTAATGGCACCTGTGTAAGCTGAACGATAGTATTAGCAGAGTGTAGTAGCATATCAGTATGAGCTTGACGAAGATTGGCCGGAATGTGTGGTAACAGGCTTCCAGCGAGAGTCCGTCCAAGCGAAGCATCGGCGAGGATGGAGCCTGGAGCCACAGCAGCGGAAGCAAATTGATCTTTAGCAGACCTGTTTGCGCCTTTCCGTCCGGCACGCGACCACTGGAACTTGCAGCCAAAGCCGGAAGATGGTTTAGGCACGGCTCATGTGCCTGTCAAAGCAAAGCCAAGGCGCACAGCAGCTCTCCAAGCCGCCGTGCCCAGTTGCGACGGAGTCACACCCAGGCTTGCTGTGAGCTCTGGTTCCTCAGATCGCCATCGTTCACAACTGCAGACACCAAGCCGGAGTTCGCTTTACCACCACGACCGTTGCATAATGCCAGAATACTGTGAAATAGAACCACAAGCCCTGCAATGGCCCGTGCTTGTAGTTGTACGTCCATGCATCCCATGCTACAGGCAAACATGTGTTAGCTGCCATTGCGAGGTGGCGAAGTGAGATCACATAATCTTAGACTTGTTGAAAGTTGCGCAACGAAGTTTAAATAGTCTACAAGGACGCCGTAGTGCACCGTCCAGTCAGGAACAAGCTAGTGGGGCGGCCAACGTGAAAGAAGCTCCTGCGATCCTCCGAATTCTTTTTGCACTCACAGTGAGTACAGGGACGTGCGAGGCCTTTGCATAGGGCCGCCCAAAACAACGAGGACGCAATGAGAGATACATGTCACAACCAAAAAAACTTGCTTTGCCCCTGTGCCCTCCTGTATGGGACTGCATGGCGACAAGTGCTGGATGCTCGTGGGTAATTAGCAATTTTTGCAGGCAGCGGCATCAAACAGATGCCTTGGCTTAGAAAGCTCTGACGCTAGCATACGAAGGCCTTCGCCAGACTGGACTCTCAGCCTCGAAAACCACATTAAGTCCCAGCAACTTGATCCTGCATTCTTGAACCTTGCCAAGTGTGTTGCCAACATCCGTTTCTGCAAAAAGTCGCCGTCAACCGACGCAAAGGGGTTTTGATTGATCAAGGAACACGTGACACCTTTAGCCTCGATTGGACATCAAGCAGCCCTGGGAAAGCCAGCCTGGAGGGCGACAGTATCTCGCCAAACCGACGCACCTCCACCTGGGGAACCGCGCAGGCCCCTGAAGAACAGCCTGTTTTGCAGTTCAGGGTCCAGGCTTTTTTGGGTCCAGTGGTTAAGTATTTCGTGTCTTTCAGTCTCTGATGAAAACCTCGAGAGTGAAGTTGCTGGTTCCAGGTGCTTGGCTCAAAGCTGCATGGGATTGAAATAACGGCAGTCGTCGGATCTCTTGTGAAAAGAGGGCATGTTCTCACGTGCTGACTTGATAAGCTTTCGTAGTTTGGAGAGCAATCAGGTTCATCCCCGAAGGCCCTTAGATGACAGCAACCGTCCTCGGGTTGCCTGAGAGAGCGTACCGGCTTGCGCATGTGTTTGCCAGTCAGGCTCGGTATGGCGACAATAGTGGATCAGCCCTCAGAGGTCAGAGCGAGCATATCAGATCCACACAGATACATCTGCAGGTTTGGGCTTGAAGCTGTTTGCCAGGGTTGCGTGAGACTGGCTTCAAGCTGTCCGTTAATTCTGACTTCTCAATGCTCACAGCAAGAACCCACTGCAAACAAAAACATCTGCCCACCGTTGATTCTAGACACTGCTTCAGGTCCCAACTTGAAGGAGGACATGGCACAGTTCATGCCATGGGGCGTCCAATGCCAAGTACAGCCAAAAAGACAGGGCACGACTCACGACATAGGGAGCCTTCTCCGCTCGGCATGTCCCGCATGTGAGGCCTAAATGTGGTGGCCTGGCTTCGGCATGAGTTGGTCATGTGAGCACGCGCGGCCCAGGCATGTTGCGCAGAAGATACTCGTATAATTGTGGAAGTTCCCAAATTCATGTCTGGAACAGCATTGCTCAGTTGAGGATTTGTTTCACGTGCAGTTTTCCTTCGCAGAACGGTCGCGAAAAATGCCCTCCCGAAAGCCAGTCGCACGCCAGAAGAAACTCTGCTCGTTTTTGGAGTGATTTGGGCTCCTTGTGGCGATTGAAGTTGCAGCAAGGATCGTGTTTAGTTTCGGTCTTAGTTATCGGGATTTACTGGGACATACGGGGCCAGCTCGACTGCCAGATCTGTAGCAGGGTAGGCTTAAGGAATGTGCATGAATTCAATACAGAAAGCCACATCCCCAGCAAGCCTGCACGGTTACCCTGCCTCGAGCTTGTGTTCACTCTGAGCCTGCTGACTGACTAAACCTAAGCAGAGCCTAACGTGCTTGCAATTGAGTGTCATGAACAGCACGGGCTTGTGTCCAATTGCCCGATGCAGACCGGAGGTGCGGCTGGAGGGTAATTGTCGGAGATTGGAGGATTGCAAGTGCTAGCATAGCAACCGTACACCCACGAAAGCAGTTGAAACTGTTGCATATGTGCAAAGTGAGCTGCAAGCCGAAAGTTACCATGACCCATTATGCTGGCCCATGCTGCGAGGCTCAGCTGGTTTCCTGCCTGACTGGCTGGCCTCACGCGTAAGGGTTGTGGTGACTTCCGCAGCAAATGATTGGCCTGCCGCCTTTCCATCATGTTTTGTGAATAGATCGGTTTGAGCTTTTCCTGTGGTTGTGCATGTCGATGTTGTTGCCAGGAAAGCCTCAGTTCTATCATTCAGACAAGTCTTTGCTATGTAGGAGGGAAAAATCATTCAGACACACATTCTCTGTTTAGCAGCTAAGGCCTCGCGGCAGAGTCCGGACATACCCAAACGTAACTTAGCTTGATCGTCGGGTGAGCAGATGTTTCTGGTTCGTTGCTCTGCAGATGCACGACGTTTAGTTTTTCACTCCAACGTCACCCGTCGACTTGGCACAGTCAAATTTTTGTTCCTTCTCCAAACTGAGGCTTGGAGCTAAGCTTCGCCGGTGTGGACCTCCCGGACCTGGGGAAGCATCCGATGCTCACAGAGGGGTTTCAGGGCGATATCTGTAGGGAATATTAGGGCTGCATTACGATTGCAAAGGGCCCTATGAGGGTTTTTTTTGGGGGTGTAGTGTTGGCTAAAATGCTGTGTGGCGAAGGTGCAAACTCCAGGACTTCTCTGAGCAACTGTTCGCATCCGCAGGACAGACTCCCAGAGCTGTTGGCTTGGCTGCGTGCCCCACGAGGCGCGGTGCGAGCAGGCTGACACTTACGTTACGTTCGCGCGACCTGCCGCACGGATCCTTTGTGGTACCAAGCAGCATCACCCATTTAGTGAATCTGCGTCTACTTGCGAAGACCAGAGTGGAATGAGGCAAGAGTGGCACTGTCCGAAAGGTTCAGCATGGACAAAAGTAATCAAAGTCAGTATGGGCTTTAAGGGCGGGCAGCTTAGCACCAGGAGTGGTCAGAAGTTGAAGCGAGGTTGAGCCGGGCCGAAATAGGATGGACTTCCTTCTGGCAAGCCGGTTTCGGATGTTTGCAGCAGATGGGCTGGCCAGGCTTGGCGCAGCAGGCACTAGTAGCATCCAATGCGGACTTTTCCTGTTGGGCTGACTTTCGTGGGACGTGCCTTCAGGATTCCGATGCCTGTACAACTGAGCAACATTTTCTTCAGAGTATATACTCGGACGGAGGCAATGCCACTTCGGTATGTTGTGGTTGCCGGCTACTGTAGCACCCAAGGATGCTGCAGAATTACTCGGCTGCCTCGGCAATCTGCGTGTTGCACGGCGACCTGCCATTGTTTTGAGTGCGTGACAGGCCATTGCTGGTCATGGGAACAACTTTTTTGAATGTGATAGTGGGTTGTTATCCATCCTCTTTTCTACTTCCCGTTCTGATTTTGATGACCACGACCGTAGTTGCGCCGTAGTCGTTTTTTTCCACATGGTGTTCTGACCACTTCTTTGCGCAGTGACTGAGGCTCTGGCTGGCTTCCAACAGCCTCACGCAGAAGTGCTTCGATCTTGATGGCTTAAGAAGTTAAGTAGGGCTTGGGGACAGCTTCTCTTATGATCTTTTTCGTGATTGGCTTTCGTCCTTCCATTTCAAGCGTATGTTTGAGTGCACATGGACCTTCTCAAGTGTGAATGAAAGTAGACCGTGCGAAGTTGGGGAAGGGATTGGCGGTGCAAGGTGAACCATTGAAAGCATTGAGTTGGCGCCGGGAACGAGTGGAATACTATGACCCCTTGACTCCGTTTGGGGGGGGGGGGTGGGGGGTTGCCCGGTGCGGATTTGCCTCAGCTTGCATAACCTTGATGAATGTTTGTTGCATCAAGTCTCTCGCTTCGTCTCTTCAGATGCAGGTCCGCTGGACGACTGCGGGACTTCGTGCAGCGAGCGGAGGGTCTCCGGGACCTGAGGGTAGCATGCCGTTTGTGTCGCAGACTGCATCCAGAACGGTGCAGTCTCAAAGGGTTAGAAGCAGGCGGCAGCGGGCATGTGCTCATTTCACAAGATAGGGTTTGCGCATGGACAGTGATGCACTAGCAGAGTTAATGGCTTTGGTTTGCAGAGTTGCCGAGGGTCGACCCCACGAGCCGTTTCATCGTCACAGAGTCAAATTCTTGGGATACAAAGACCTGGAACACCGCGGGGTACCGATAGTCTTTTCATGCGCGCATGTACCTACTTTTGGTATTGGTGGGGCTGAGCTGTTTGCCGAATTTGACGTGCCATGTTTGACCGAGCAGATGTCCCAGCCATGAAGGCCAAAGTCAGCATTTGCGGTGGCGCGTGTCTTTCAGTGCCAGTGAATACTTCGCACTGACATGGTGGTCAATCGAACGTTTCGGGCACCCGCACTTCGCAGTCGGAGATTTCGTTCTCGTTACAGGGGGTTCTCGTCAGACGAGAGTCGTACCTCGCAATCACCAAACCTCGATAAGGTCTACCAGACAGGAGGCGAGCATTCGTGCTATGTGAGCCACTCACTGGGTCTAAGGAGCGAGGCTTTCATGAGCCTGTGTTAGCCGACCGGTGGTACCCGTCCAAATTGACACACTCGCCACACCGCCCCAACCATAGGAACCAGGCATACCAATTATCAAAAGCATAACCGGTACAGTAGAAGATGTAGGAATCAATGGACCCGTGCATGTCCACTTGGTCCTTTGCAGCAGCTCGCCGCAATATACATTGCATGAGTCAACTCTCTACTATCTACTTGCTGGCATGACTGTCCAAGACCTCGTCAGAAAAGACAGTACCCATCACGCGAAGTACGCCTTTGCCCCGAATTCTCCTCCATGAGCGAAGGCTGAGTCGGAGATCTCCGGTCAGCAATTCGGGTAGAATACTACGAACTCATCTTCTCGGAGCCTCCGGGCAAACGCAGCCACGCGCAGAGAGGACTTGGACTTGGCCTGCAACGACCTGGACGATGAGGCGGTGTTTGGGCTTATTTCTGCATTGGCAACGAGAAAACGTCACTCGGCTCCTGCAAGCCCTGACCATCCTGCTGCACTGCCCTGAACACCCTTGGTGACCAAAGGCTATCAGCGGTGGCTCTATCTGGCGGGAAACCAGGCAAGACTGAAGACTCCCGTCTTTGAGCAGTTGGGGCCCGATTGTCTGATCGCAAGAGGATGTGCCCCTAGTGTCAGTCTGATGCCATGAACCGGTGTTGTTGCGACGGATGGGGTTTGGTAAGCGGCAAGACAGCAAGTGATGCCGACAAACGCTCTGGCACCTAACTTGCGGAAGTATCGGAAGTTGATTCTGAACGCTTTCGGGAAGCACATTCCTTCGTTCCCCTTATGTCTGCACAGGAAATCCTTCGAAGCTCTTGCAATCTGTCGTAAAGAGACATTACCCGGTCCTCAGCATACACGCCTACAATGTGACTGAGAACGCAACCTGCTCCAACAGCGAACTAAAGTCACTAGCGTCATGGTGGGCAATGCTCGCTTGCGGGTACGTTTCGTAGTTTGTATATGCCATATGCCGTAATCGAAGACCATGCGAACCTGGTCAAAAGGTGCGCAATCCGCCAGCGCTACTAGAGCGGCTGCGGCGTGCGGGGGTGCATGTGTGCCTGGACGCCTCTGGGTCTTGCGGTTGAAAACTCCTTTATTGCCCGGGAGGGCGGTTGGTTTCGATACTAGCAGCCGGTTCACGTTCGTGTTTGAGTGCTGATGGCAGCAAAGCCGAGGAAGCCTCGTCGGACCTACCGAGCGATGGGGACCACATCTGCCTACCCTATTTCTGCTTCCAAAGTCCTGACACCGTTGACCGAGACCCTGGCCTGGAGAAGCCAGGTGAGGCCAAGCAAATTCATACAGAACTCGAGGAGGAGCGGGCCGTTCCAAGCTTGTCCGCCAAAGCGAGCAAAGATGTCACCTCGGCTTTACGAACCCTAAGAACCATCATCCCTCCTTCAGATCCAGAGCAGACGCCGCTGTTGCCACAGACTCTGCCACAAACTGTGCGGCCGGAGGCTTTGCCACAGTCTGTGCCACTGGCCGATGCAATTTTCCCCATTCCCGCGCTCTCGCAATTTGGGCAGGTTAACGGCTTTCACATGGCTCCTGAACCTTTCTTTCTCGGACAAGCGATGTCCACAACAACTCCCACCCCATTGATGAACCCCTTGATGACCCCATTGCAGGTGCCTGAGCTGAATGGCATGCCTCCCCCGCCCCCACCTGTGCCTCCGCTCAACACGACGTGTGCAACCCCGCGGACGCCTCCGTTGCCTCTTGATTTGTTTACAGATTTGCACGCTGGTGGCCTGGCTGGTCTTACCTCTGGATCGATTGCCCCGACTCTGGTGAACATGCCTGGGGCATTTACTTCGCCAGCAATGGCCACTGCTCCGAATGGCTGTCACCCAGCTCCCGGCGATCTCGCTCCTGGTCTGACCGTTGATGGGTTCGTATGGATCAAGGTACGCTTGTGTGTTTTGCACCATGCGCAGTAGCGTTGTGCCCCAACCACCCCGAAGTGATGCAGACACGCAAGGTTCAAAGGCCGTTTGAGGCAGGTGTGCTCGTTGGCCTTAGCTCGGTGTGTGCTTCTCATGTTTTGCGTGACAAGTAGTTACCGTTACTGGTAGTTATTGTAACACGTTATACTGTACTGGTAACCCTGTGTGCCAAGCAAAACTCTTTCCTTTGGAACCTCCTTGAGGCTATGGCATTCGGTGCGGTCGATGCAGAGTCTGGGAGGACCGAGGCCAACTTCATGGCTTCACGGGGCTGCTCATATCATCGTCATGTCGTACTAAGCAAAGGCACGAAGACTGAAAGAGTCAGAGCTGCCTACCCAAGGACCATTCCAGGAGCAAGGCTCCCAAAATCCAGAAGGCCAAAAATGCACACCCCACTGCGGGAGAACGATCGGCACCCCAAAATGCACAAGAGACTGTGGACGCAGCACGAGTCCCAGCTCAAATGTGCGCGGGATTGTGGCAGGAGCACGGTTGTGGAAGCGGAATCGCGGATCGCGGAAGAGCCGCAGCCCCATGCGCATGCCGGTTTGGCAGAAAGACAATGCATGAGGGCATGAGCACCACTGCCAACACCGGAAACTTCCCACAGAATACGTACTGTATCACAAAACCAGTCACATCACCAAAGAGCTTTGAGCGCTACCTGGAAAGCCCGGTAGCCGGAAATAATCGGCAACTGACGAAAGGAGCTTGATTTTGAATGGTTGTCCGCTCAGTGCCCGTTTTAGTTTGGGCGAAGCAATGCAAAAAAGCAAGAACCCATGTGTCGGTGGGGTTTTCCTGGACATACAGCTCCACAACTCGCGTCGACTTGTCAGTTTTTGTGTCGCCCGCAGTTCTGTCGACACAATGACAAAATGTTCCTGGAACGCCCGTGTCTGGATGCACGAGAAGCATGAAGAAGCATGGAGGTGTCTTCCACATCTCTTATCAAGACCAAAAGCTTTAGTTTTCCTGCTGTCTTGAAATTCGTCGAGACAGATAAATCAAATAGGTCTTTGTGAGTCGGTATTGTTGCCGCTACTGAACGACAAATGGGATCAGTACATGATGCAGCAACTGGCCCTTGATTCAGCAACTGCGCTTCAGAAACCATGCCCGCTTC